ACGGGTTATCCAGTTTGTTCAGGGACACTGGTCTTTGGCGATGTGCAGTTTATTTTCGTTTGCTTGCCCCTAGCTCCAAAGTGCGGGCGTATCGCCATGATACTCATGAGTGGAACCTCCTATGGAGGGGTACCATTGCGATGTTTCTCAGCTCACCTATGGAATTTGTCCTGGTGTGATTTTTGGCCTACCTTGGACTCACGCTAAGGCGCGTGCCCAGACTCTTAACGAGTAACTGCGAGACAGCGCTTGCTGCGGCCAGAAAGGCTTGTTTTCATCCAAGACCAGGGGTGTACCCCATGTCCGGGATCATATGCAGCCAGGGTGGCCATCGCATAGCAGGACAAATGGCGAAAGCATTCTCTTCAGCATAGACTCCTCGCCACTTATGCCTTCCTGGCATCTTGGCAAGCCTACTAAAGACAGTGCAATCTAGGAAGGCCCTACTTCCAATGTACCTCAGCGAGGGCGGGATGGCAAGCTCAACTAGGGCTGCACAGTTCATGAAGGCTTTGACTCGGATTGTATGGAGAGTTGTCGGAAGGAGGACTTCTCTGAGACTAGTGCAGTGCACAAAGGCGAATTCCGGAATTTCCTCAACATTGGTGTTGCAAAGGTCTACACTCTTAAGCAGTCGGCAACTGTCGCATGCATGCGCTCCGATAGCTACAAAATGCATTGGGAGAGCAAGTGCGGTGATTCCCGTAGAGCTAAGACAGCCCGGCGTCAACTCACTGGTCCTAGCTTGCAGTACTGACTCTCGGGGGGATGGAAGCTCACTTAAGGTAAACTCAGCAAGGTTAATACACCCTTGAAAGAGGTATTGTCCTAACTTGGCTTCGCTATTGAACATATTTGCAATCCCTTCCGATGCATACACCCATTGCAAGGAACAACATTCCGCAAAGGCTTTATACCCAAAATCTCGACAACCCGGAGCCAAGACGCTGTTTAGTAGTTTGCAGTCACGGAAGACGTTATCGGAGATGCCTACCACTGTGGCCGGCAGTTTGACGATGCGGAGCTGCCGGCAGTTTTGCCAAGCCTCTGCTCCAATGAGCCTGATGCCTGACTCTACACTGGCGTGTCTCAGTTGTGGAACCCCTGCAAAGGCCCCTTCTGGGACCTCTGGGTTCATGGGGACATGAACTGCTAGCGGAATGTGATGGATAGGGCAATCCTCAAGTTCTTCTTGAGATGGCAGGATAACACTGCAGTTCCGAAAGACAATAGTGTATTCCGTGCCTTGCTGTAGCTTGTCCCAGATTGGGTCCTCTAGGTAAATCTGTGTGGCAGTTTGTAAAAAGTCAATGAAGCACCCAAATACTTTGAGATCAGTAACAGAAACGAGATAGTCCATGACCTGATCTTCTAGATCCTCAAAGCGATCAAACTTTGCAACACTGAGAGAGACCTGAAAAGTCTCTCCCGAAAGCGTAGTCAGCATCAGGGAGCATTCCATGACCGGCTCCTTTTCAGGGGGAGTGCTAATCATGGATGAATCATCAATCTCCATGTGCGACAGGCTATTTGCAATAATTGTTTGAGCCAAAAGTGTCTGGGTCTGCTTGTGGGCTGTTCTCAAGGCCATGGATTCTGAAGACAGATGCTAAGGCACCCACCTAGAGTCTACCATGGACTGGCATGATATTGGGAGTATTCGTGGTAGAGTTCCTCGTCAAAAGCATCCGAATCAGGTCCATCTGCAGGGAGCAGCTCCACCCACTGGGGTTTTTCAAACTTGTCACACATAAAGAAGGCATTGTGCTCTGCTTGCGCCCACTGTTCAATGTCACCCCAGTCCAGGGGGGTAAACCGTTGCAGCTGCTCACACCCACAAAATGCACGGTTGCCTATATCACTGAGCTCCGTCGGGATGACAACTTCTTGCAGTGCCACACAATTCAGGAAAACTTCTTTGCCAATTTGCGTGAGTCGTGGCGGGAGCCATATACAGTTTAAGGCGACACAGTGGGCAAATGTGGAAGAGAGGAGGGCTGTGATCTCTGTGCCCATGAGGTTGACCTCCACAAGGCTTTTACAGTTCTCACAGGCCCGCGGCCCGATATTGTGGAAGTCACTCGGTAAGCAGAGCTGTTCAATGCCTGCGCCGCAGAATGCCCCTTCAGGCAGCGCTCGAGGTTTGTTAGTATGGTCCATGTCAAAGGTGATGGTGGCAAGTGTGAGGCAACTCTCGAAGGCATATTTACCTAGCTGCGCCCCTGGTGCGAGGACATTGCTGTCCTCAGTTTCATGACTGGCCCCAACTCGACCTAGGGAGCAGCACTCCGCAAACACCCTTGGACCGTATTGGATACACCCCGGAGCGGCCACCTCTCGCAGCACGTAGCACCCTTGGAAAGCCCCTTCCGCCAGACTTATGACCGAGGGTGGGAGCTTGACAATTTGTAGTTGCTGACACGTCTGCCAAGCCGCAACTCCTACATGTTGAATGCCAGTTGCCACTTCTACATGCCGGAGCGAAGGTGCAGCATAAAATGCTCTGTCGGCAATTGCCCCCCGCGGATTGGGCGGGACACGAACAGCTTTGGGGTAGCTCTCCTTGCCGTCATCCTGGAACTGCCAGATGGAATGCCCATCTACCATACAGGGACGAACTACAATTTGGAGCTGCGGTCGTTGCAGGAGCACAGTGCGGAATGCCTCTGGCAGGGGTTGCTGCGTGTGGAGGTTGAGCAACTCCAGTTCACAGCCGAAGACATCTAAATCAGAGACTGTCGGCAGAAAGCAGAGAATGTCATCTTCAAGCTCTGCTACATCCTCATAGTGGGAGAGGTCTGCCTGCATTGCATATACCGTACCTGCTATGGTAACCAACTCGAGGTTGATCTCATAACGGTCTTGGTGAGTCGGCATTGTCGCGTAGGCGGTAGCTCGAGCGTGCTTGCTAAGTTTGTTTGAGCCAAACTACAGAGACACCGAAGATATAACCTTGGAAACCCCAGGTCAGGTACAGCCTATTGCCCTATACATGAATTAAAAGTACGCCCCAGACTAGAAAAAAATACGATTCAAAAATACGCCTTGGTAGAAAATACGCTTGCCCTTGTAGAAAAATACGATTGAAAAATACGATTGTAAAAAAATACGATGGGAAAAATCACAACCTCAGTTGAAAAATACAAGTGTATTTAAAATACGATTGCCAAAATGAACACCTAGTAAGAAAAATACAATTGTAAAAAAATACGATGGGAAAAATCACAACGTCAGTTGAAAAATACAAGTGTATTTTAAATACGACTGCCAAAATGAACACCTAGTGAGAAAAATGCACTTGTAAAAAAATACGCTTTGGAACACAAAACAACAAAGCAGTGTATTTTTGGAAAGGCTTTCTTGGAAACAATCGTGTGCTTAGTGGCAAAGGGTAACATAAACCAAGGTTGTCATTGTGGCACACACACAAAGGAGTGCAGATGTTGATGTTCCAACAACACAACTCGCGGGCTTTTGTCCTCTTGTTGTGCACCTTGCAGAGAGAAGCGCGACACTTGGTATATGCTAGTGGTAGACCTAGCACTGTGCCATCGATGAGCGGGCTTCCACACAGACCCCACACCAGCCCACTGCAGAACAAAGCTACCCTGGCATGTGCCAAATGTGGAGGGGCCATTCCAAGAACAGATGGTAGCTTAGGAACCTTCCCTTCCACTATTTCATTCCCGATAAATTTGATTGGTAGTGAAATTGTTGATTTCACTCCTTTGATTGGTTTGTTTCTGGGAACATTGACACTGTTGTCTGCGGAAAGGAAGCACCAACACGAGGACCATGGAAGGGTTCAGGAATGGGCAAGTACTTGTGGACATAGGCAGTAGTTCTGACCAACCCCCGCCCGAAGCACCCACCGTAAGCGTACATTTTACATGTTTTTGCGCGAGAGGGTTTCTGCTGGCGACAGGGTTATGATGATGCTCTGCTCTTAGTCAAAGCCAACTGTGGTTTGTTTAGTGGCACCCCATAACCGCACGGTGATTCATCTTGGACCATGGCGTGACTGCACATGGCCTGTAGACTTTAGACCCATTGCAAGGGTGGATTCAATCGTGGTTTCAGTTTTTGGTAGGCCGAAAAGCAAGGGCGCAAGGCTCCAAACATCACACATTGGAGCCCGACTTCCTTTGCTTGTTTGTCACACAGCAAGCCCAGTGGACAGGTTTCCCCGAACAACCCAAGCATTTGCCAGCTGGCCGCTGGTTTGGCCAAACACCTGGAAGTTGCATCGCAATTTTTGTGTTGGTTGGGCATCTGTGTGTTTGACTCAGGGCGTCGTGTTTGGTCACTTGACACGCAAACTCATGCGCCAGGTGTTGGGTGAAGGTCAATTTTGGCAATAATGAGTTCAACCTGCTCGTTGTGGACATGTTTTTTTGCCTAGGCCCACACCCAAGCCCAAACAACAATTATTTGTAGTTTGTGCCTGTTTAAGGTGGCAAACTTAGAGACTCTACACAGGGGGAAAGTGGAGGCTATGTTTTGCGGCAGTGTGCAAACATCACATGGGGGGCAGTCCTTACATAGTCCCATTAGGGATTTCACTGGTTCAGGCATGCAACACACAAAGGCAAGCCGTGTTACCAGAACATGTCTTCGGTGTGTACACTGTACACACATACCCACCCAAGAGCCAAACCAGTTTTGCACGGCCAACAGTGCTAGTCACACCTGCTTGTTGGATACGCCGTTCTTTTGGTTTGTTTTTGTAGTCAGTTTCTAGGACAGAATGCGCGCACGTGTTTTACTGCGTAGAACGCTTTCATTTTCATTGTATTTGCCAGTTTCTGGACTTGGCCTGGCCTTCCATGCTGTCTCAAGCTCACGAAAGGTTACGAGCTGTCGGGCTGACATTCATATCATATCATCGCAGTATATTGGGTGAACGCAGTATAGCCAGCAAGCACTCACAAGGGGTGAACCACATCGGAACGTTGAATATTTGGTTTTCATGGCGTGTCTTTGCAACCAACGTTTCTGCCCAACCTTTCGGCCATGGCAGGGAAGCCAGCCTTGGCGATTTTGTTCAAGGGCACCGACACGCCCGTCCTTTTGTCTGAGCTGACAATGAAGCAAGAAATGTGGCTGGAGAACGGAAGGCCTTTCGAGTACGTCCGCATTGACCCTCCGATGGAAGGTGAGCCAAGTGAGCATGAGGATGGTTGGGCTGGGATGGCCGGCGAGGAGATGGATGCCTTGTCAGAGCTCAACGACAAGATCATGGAAGCTGAACTGACTGAAAGCAGCGGAGAGGAAAAGCATTCGGCGGGTTCAAGCAAGCAAGGTGTTGCTTCAGCTGCCGAGAGGGTGGCCCGATATCAGGCTAGCCTCATTGCCCCTGACATGGACCAGAGCAAAGAGACATACTGTGTGGAGGATTTCAAGCGCGTCGTCAAGGAGCTGAAGGTTGAAGGTGAGCGGCCTCACCACCAGACCCCCATCAAGGTACTGTCTGGGTGCACTGGCATGCTGGCAGAGGGATGGGTGTGCAAGGCTGGGCTTTGAAAATCAGTGCCGCCCTGTGAGAATGGCCAGTGACCAGTGTAATGGCCGCATACACCCGAAGGTTTGTGTTCCCACTGACACCTCTTTGTGTTTTTGTGTTTTCATCCAGCTCCGTCTTTCTCACCGCCTTGTGTGGTTCCCTTGGCCTACCTACCTATTCGTTGACCTTTGTTTGCCCCCGATAGCAAGCCTTGTGTCCAAACAGTTTTGCTTCTTGACAATCTCTAAGACTCTAAGACTCTACGTTTTCTTTTCCTGCGGCCCTGCTTTCTGCAGGTTCTAGGTAGGCTTAGGTGATGATGTATCAGTTTCTTGATTCCAGATTCCAGATGTCAAGCATCACTTTTTCAATTCAACATCATTCCCTTTGGCCCTACCTTACCCTACCCTACCCGCAAAGACTTCAAAGATTTCAGCTACAGTGAGTTGTGAGGTGAACTGTTCTTTCGTTGTTTTTGTTTGCTACGATCACAAGCGGCTGCCCAAGTTATCAGTCTGTACCAGGTGCGCGGGCGAATCGCTCAGTATTATATGTGTCTGCCTTACACTCGATAGTAAACTTAGTAACGCTACTTTACAGCAACTCACCGGGGAGCATGCCAATTGCCTGGCAAAGAAAGGATTCCCAAACACACCCAGAAGCACTCACTCCTTGTATACTGTCACTTTAAGACCTGTGCAGGAACGCGCTCACCCACCAGCCAAACTCAGACGGACAGTTTTAACATGGCCGTAGCTCCCCAACAAGTTTCATGTCAATCAATCAAACTCCTTGCGCCAGTTGCTGGGCATTCCGGTCGAGTCCTACAATTGCAGCGACCCAAAGCCAGAAAGCTATTCGATCGTGAACTTGAACTTTGGGCCGCAGGTTGCTAGCTTCCACAAAACCTTGCAGGAACAGATCAGCCGCTTGGTTGAGCCTTGCCACAGTGATTCCCAGGAAGCAGCTGACGCCAAGCACTTAGAGAACCCCGACCTTGCTGTTGCCGGGACGCCTTGCCAACCATTCTCACGGCAACGGTCCAAAAGAAGCGCAGACAACTCCGTTCGGAGCCATTCCAAGTTTTCCACAACGTTTGTGGATCTCTTGGATTGGCTGAGGGCCTTTGAACCGAAATGCGGGGCATTTGAGCAAGTCGAAGGGTTGGATTGTCCTGAAAGTACTGCATGCCGCACTACACCATTGGAGAGGCCGGGTTCTTGGTGTAATTTGTTGAGCGCCTTTCAATAATCCAACTTTTCTGGGACCATGTTTGCAAATGCCTGTGTTGCCCAACAAAAGACCAAATAGGTTCAGTTTGTGAGTTGAGGAGTCTAGCTGTTCAAATGGGATTCGATCTGTCCATATCAACTATGTCGATGTCTATGACGTGACTAAGTAAGAGCACCATGACTTAGCTGCCTTGTTGGGTGTTGTTGTTCACTTGATCTGAGTCTAGAGTTCTAGGATTCTAGAGGTCCTAGAGTCCAGATTCAGTCTTGGCTTCTAAACAATTGAGGTCGAGAAGAGAAACAAAGAGACAGATAGATAGATAAATAGATAGATAGATTAGATAGTAGATAAATAGATAGATAGATAGGTAGGTAGGTAGATAGATAGATAGATAGATTCAGATAGATAGATAGAGATAGAGTCTGATAGAGAGAGAGAGACTGAGAGACAAAGAGGGGACAGGCGGATACTGGGTAGGTGCTGTAACTGGTAGCTGGTAGCTGGATTTGGGTATTGGAAAATAGGTCTGGGAAAGGATGACTTGTTAGGTACGTACGTTTGGTGGACCTTTTTCGGCATGAGTGACTTGAGTCATGAGTCTGGAACTTTTTCAGGCTGTTGAAGTTGCTCGATGCGAAGGAGTGGGGTCACGGCGGCTACCACATGGAGCCTGTCCGCATGGATTCTTCAGCGTGGATCAACATGAGCCGCCCAAGGACGCTTTCCGGGTGGGTCGGGACGCTTTCCCGGGTGGGGTCGAGTGACGCGCTGTGAACTTGTGGGACAGTGAGATTGCAGGATCAAGACTGGACTATGATGAATTTTTGCTCTAGGACCCTAGGATTCTGACTCCTGACTAAGAGTGCAAGTCACAGAGTGACGCTTGCATGCTCTAGCGGTCGCTCAGAACGTTTTGGATCGGCGCGCAAGAGAACAAGCAAAGCATAATAACATATTTTTGGTGGCTCAAGTAGGCCATTTCGGGAAAGCAGCCGGGAACAATACAAGTTCCAATCTCCCACAGCCCAAGCAAATCACAGGCCACAATGAAGAGGCGTGTGTATATAATATAGTATATAGTATATATAAATACCATTTACTGTACGTCATATGTATACATGTTAGGTCAAAAGAAAACATATGATACAGCATTACCTGTTTCCTGTTACCTCCAATTGCTGCAGGCAGTCTTCGTCATAGTAATCACATCCAAATCAAGGCAACTGATCAGATAACTGATCACTGTTTTAATACGTTGTGCTTGGGGTTGTTTGGGAGGCCGCTGGAGATTTTGCAGGTGTCTTAAATGCCAAGACTGCCAAAGTCGCAAACCATCACCCAGTTTTGCTGCCTTACACTATTTTGTGTTCTATCGCGTTTACGTTCCTTACAACTTGTTTGCTTCCTTTTTGTTTTAGTAGTATACTACGCGATACTATAGTTATTATTAAAAAGATACGAATACTACTGATGACTGATGCTTAGGCCCGGCTTACTTACTATCCTGCCAGGATTCAAACTGCACTGTACAGCGCTCACACCCAACCACACACGCCTAGGCCCTGCAAACCCACAGCTACCAGAGCACCCTTCAACTTCACGAGACTGTTTGCAGCAAAACACAGAGTATACACTGCACTGCACAATCTTCAGTGCTGATTATCATCCTTGCCACGAATGTGGCAGAACTGTGAGGGTGAGCCATGTTTTTCACACGTTTCTTCCCAGTGCTCATTTTGAGTGCTGCTGCCGTCACCATGTCCGATGATGAGGCTGGTTGGGGTGGTCTGGCTGATGTTGCGGGGGTAGAATCATTGCAGACCCCACCGCCAAGCAATGCAGCCAGATCTAGCTCCTGGCTCGTTGAGGAGGATGAGAACGAAGCTGGCTGGAGCTCCGTTGCAGCTTCAGCAGTTGGGTCAATTGGGACACACAGTTCTGCTGCTGCTTCTTCTAAAAAAACGAAGAGGGGGCGCCCACCAGGCATCAAAGGGAGCCACTCCTTCCGGCGTGAACTGAAAGCTCAGGTGGAAGAGGACAAGAAAAGAGCACCAAACCAGAAAAGGCCACTGAGCAGGGCTGAAGTTTGTTCAATTGCCAGAAAGGCAAAAAAGGGTAGACTAAGTGAAAAAACCCTGCAAGTAGTTGAGAGTGAGTCTTGTGGACGGCCTCCCACTGATCCAAGCCCAGAGATCGGTACAGACCTAGAGAGGTCAGTGTTCAATGTGGCCCTGTCTGCTTCACATGCTCATGTGCATGAAGCCCTCCAAGCTGCTGCAGGTTCTGAAATTACAGGTCCTAGCCTGTGCAGAGTGAGTTCAGACTTCGCCCCTGCCCGCTTCTTGGAGACTTTGTTCAGGTCAGGGGAAGACACTTTGCTGGCACCACACACTCAGGACCCTGAGAGTGGGGATATACGCCGAGTCCTTTCCCATTTCTTCAAGCCTTACCGTGGCTACTGCACAGTCAGCCGAGACTCTGAAGCCTTTAAGGTCTCAGCAAACACTTTCTCAAGAACTTTGATTCGCACAGCTTCTGCTTTGCGGACAACTTCCAGGAAACTGTTTGGCAACCTTTTTGCGCAGGCCAAGAAGTTGCTGTCTGAAAACCATGAGGGTGTGCTATTCTTAGTTAATTTTCGCTTCGATGAGACGCCTTCACGGATCAAAGTCAAGGACTTGGACAGTGCCTTTCTTCCAACAGATTCTCAATCAGGGGCTGGGAAGTCAACGCAAGCTTCCCAGCAGTTGGCAAAGCTCTTGCAAACAGAGTTGTCAATCTCCATGCTCTTTCGTGAGACAAGCAGCGGCGGCGGTCAGGGTCAGGGAAGCCACCTTCTTTTGACGGGTTATGTACCAACCCCATTGCAAGTGCTCGATAGGCAAACAGCTCAGAATCTCAAGCAAGCTTTGGACGCATCCATGAACATACCAGGATTGGAAGAGACAGCAGCTGCCTTCAGTAGCCGTGCGTTTTTGTTCTGCGCCGATGAGTTTTCTGCAAACGGTTTAACTCAGTTCGGGACGCAGGCCACACGGCCTGGCTGGTTGAGAATGTCAACCCTATGCGACATTCACAAAGGCAGTACTGTGCAGGGAAGGGTTTTTGATTTGACAGGGCCTGCAATCTCTGCTGTTATCAACTTTGCTTTGTCCATGCAGGCAGCAGGGTCTGTTGGCAAACTTCAAGCGTTGTTGAGTGATTTGCTGTCGGCACGTTTTGAGCTTCAAGTGGGAGATACAAACACTCCGTTCTTGAACCCAAATGCTGCTGCTCACAACAAGGCAGTCTTAGACCTTTACCTGTCTGTACCTGACCACTTCACTCTCAAAACAGCCGACGCAGTTTCGTCCAAAGCGCGGCTCCGTTACACGCAAAGGCAGAGACAGAGATCAATCATTGAGTATTTTTGCAATGGAGATTTCAGGGATACTTCGAAGATCATTCACTGGGCTGAGCCGGGCCAATACAGCAGCTTTGATGAAGCTCTCCAAACGTTCTTAAAGTACATGGTGCCAGCCTTGATCCCCTGTGCACGTCCAATCTTTCCAAGGAGCCGCTGGTTTGGGGCTGACGCAGCTTTAGACTTTGTGGGGCTTTTGTGCAGTGTCCACAGCTTGTTCCTACCGTTGGTGGAAGCATGGGCTGGTCGAGACATTGCACCACAGCCAGCGCCAGCCACACAGTCAGATGATGATGGTGATGATGCTGGTTGGGATTTGGCACCACGCAAGCCGGCTCCTGTTTTGCCAGACCAGGCTAACGAGAGTGCGAAGCAGGGAGACCCAGAGGGAGATGAGGCAGCCGGTGCTGGCGGTTCGGATGGTTTTGCTTGGCACGCTTACCACATGAAACTCAAGACCAGCGTTGTTGACTGGCTGCGTTTGGGAGCGCGCAACGTTGGTCCCAGCTCAGAGGGGCAAATCGCCCTGATGCGCCAGTATATGGCTCCCGTGCTGCGGCTGATGACTAGCTTGCTCTACGTCAGTAGCAAAAAGTGGACAAAAGAACAACTTCGCTGTGAGGCTGATGGCGGGCAACGTGAGTTCCGCGTTCTGAAGGCTTTCGAAGCAGTTGAAACGCTGAGCCTGCTCAAGGAGTGCTTGAGGCTTTTGAAATGCTCTCCACTGGTCTTGCCAGAGGCTGATTGGAAGCAAGACAACAATGTCCTTTGTTTTACCATGCTCTCGCGGTTGGGGTGTGCGACCCACCAGCTTTTGCTTTGGCGAAGACGGAAATATCCATATGCTTTGCCATGGCCTCAGTTGACAACACCGAACACAGACCATGAACATTCGAAAGAGTTTGTTTTGGTCATTGTCATAGTCGCAGCCATAGTAATTCCCACACTGATAGTGATAGCTGATAGCTGACGGATAGTAAAGTAGCTTAGTAGCGACTAGTGACTAGGACTAGTGATAGTATCTGATAGTGATTAGTGGTTTTCTGCGTCGATTTGTTTGTGTGTTTTGTTGCATCTCCTGCTTGTGAGTGTGAGCGACTTGGTACTGCCAGAACCAAAGTCTAAAGTCTCAATGGCCGATTTGTTGGGAACGTTGCAGGGATACTCTGCATAAGGGAATCACTCCACACCCCAATCCCCTTCCAGTTGAACGTGTTGTTCCTTGAGTTCAGGTGGTATCTTTTGTCTGAACAGGTGTTCTTTGATCAGGAGCCGCAGCTTTTCTTGCACCCTGCCCACCCGCCCCACATGGGAGCTGTGGTGAAAGGCGCGAAGTAATGCGAAGCCTTAGGAGTCATTGCACCATCCCAATGGATGGTTGTTTAGGGGACCAGGGTTGGTGCCAGGTCCGTGAGCGCTGATTTTGGGGAGAGAGGGTTTGGGTGATGATTTACAACCTGGATTTTACAACCTTGATTCTCGTGCGTGCTGAGCCGGAGGCCACTTAAGAAAACAAATGACTGCCAAACTAAAGGCAGGATCACAACTCCTAAGCCCTAAGCCCAATGTGCTGCACATATTCCATAAGCCATAAGCCATAAACGAAGGCCAGTTTGTGTCGAATGGAAATTGAATTCACTTCACTATGGCCAGTTTTCCCAAGGTTCGCTGCCTTGAACTGCCAGAGGGAGGCTAAAGAAGTCTTCAACCACAGGCGGTGTTTGCAAGATGAGGTCACCCAAGAACTGTGCAAGATGTTCCAGTCCGAGGAGCTTTTCTCTTCAGAGTGCTGTTTGGCAATCATCCAGTCGATTGCCAGTGTCATGGAGACAGACATCGGAGCAATCGAGCGCCAACATACTATCAGCCGAAAGGTTATCATGGCAAGATCAACGGCCAGACCAGTGACCCTGCAAACACTGAGCGCCGATTTCTTTTTGCGACAGTACACCCAGCGTACAACAGACAGCTGTTCGTTCAACTATATTGACGGCGAATCTGTCCGAAGCAAGCTGCGGAAGGCCCAGAATAGACCTAAGAAAATCATCAAGAAGAAGCCAAAACGAGGCGGTGGCGGTGCTTTCAGGGCCTTTCTGTCAATGACAACAAAAGGTTCCAAAGCCTCCGGAAGCTCTTGGTCAGGCTTACGCAGCCTTGACAGAAGAAGATAAGGCAGTGTACAAAACTGTGGGCGTCGCAGCTGCGCAGAGCCATCGTCAAGGCCACCATGCTTTCGGCAAAAGGAGCAGACCTGTGGCCAAGGCCAAGCTACAGCAGCTACAGTTGTCTCCTTCAGCGCTGTCTCAACCTTCT